ATGGGGCCCATTCCATATGGAGAGTACCTTGCCCAGCCTAGGCATAAGGGTATGGGGGTGGAGAGGTACCTTGGTCCTGCCTCAACCAGATGATGGGACAGACTTAGTAGACTTCATAAGGGAGGATTTATCCTCTCCAAGGAGCAAATGGGAGGTGGGGGATCATGGGAGGAGAGGAAGGAGGGGAAACTGAGATTGGAATGTAAAATTATAAATTAATAAAAAGAAAAACTATGCCAATATCTGAATAAGCAGTTTGCTCCCTCAGGGCCCTGATATCTTCCATTCGAGGCTCCTGGTACACTTTGCTTGTTTTCACTCCAATTTTCTTACACTCCTCATCAACTCAAACAAAAGCCCTTCCCTGCAAAATGGGGATCTGCTGCTTCTAATTGTTTCCCTGTATGAGGTATGGGGCAGCATCAGCATCATGGTGGCTCCAGTCTCAGCTAACAAAATACAAGTCCTTCCAGAAATTCAAGTGTATCATATGATGGCAAAACTCAGCTCAAGCCTAGGTTTTGGTGGGCTGAGTCAGACTGTGACCTTTAGACAGTAAGAGACCCTGGTAGACATTAAATTCTTTTCATAAACTTATCCAGTGAAGGGATCTGAATCAGGCAGATTTGGGCTGAAATTCTTACTAGACATTACTAGAATTGTGTGAATAGCACGCACAACATCTGCGTACATCACACTGGAAACCTACTACTAAGGAGTTTCTTCTAAAGCTGCTTTCAGCCATATTCTTCCAAACACAAAGCCAGTTCCTTCAGTCAAGAAACATCTACAGCTGCTTGATTCTGTCAACATGACTTCAATTGCAAGCTGAATGTAGAGAAGAGTGATATTGATAGATCAGTTCTTTTGGTTCTGACATTAGCTTCCTCAGAAAGTGGAAACTGAAGGGAAATCAAGAGCTTGTCCAGGAGAAGTGTCAATCAAGGGCCCTTTCTAGCAGAGTGTGCAGCTTTCTCTGCCCCCTGACAGTTTTCTTAGGATATGGAACAAGAACTGGGAGATATCTTCAAACAGTGACAGCTGGTGACCATCCTACATACGATAGGACTCCCAGGAAGAACAAGGAAGGAGACAGTCGCCTCTTAGGACATAGTGAACACTAAGAAATTTTGTGAGCTTGAGGCCCATTCTCCACCTGGATGACATGATGGCTGATCTCTGATTTTACTCATGTCTTTATTCCAGATGGGTGTGTCCCTACTCACTTCCCCAGATGCCTACCGGATATTTTGTTTTGATACCTCATGAACACCTGTAAGGGAGTCTACATGGGCACACTTAGGGTACCTAATGTTAACACTGCAATCTTAACTTGCTAAGCAGGTTGAAAACCGGGTCCTGACACTGTCTTGACTGGCCACAACCTATAGGTAAGCCTGCTGCTTATATTGGAGTGTGTTTGAGGAGCAGCCCTTAAACTATACTGGGTGAAGCACTCTATAGTTTGTGGCACTGACCCTTTTATTACTTGCTCAAGTTGGGAAGGTGTACTCTTAATTAAAAAACAAAAACAGGAAGCATATAGACTCTGACCAACAACCAATTAGATGAAGGTTGGTCAGGGGATCATTTGAGAGTACTATTTCTTCAGTGTAAACTTCAAAGTTACACAATTGATAACTTAATGTAGAGGTTTATCTGCTATTTTTAAAGGTATGTTTTCCTTTCATTTTATTTGATTCTCTTTATATGATTTGGACTTTAAGATCCATTTATGGTTCAGGCATTCTACATCAAATAGAAATCATGAATGAAATGAGGCTATAAATTCATAAATTAGATATGTAGCATCACTATTCTTTCCTTACCCTGCTTTTTTTCTTTACATATTTTCTGACTTCATTTCTGTAATATCTCTATGTCAATACATTTCTCGTTCATCGTCTCCCATTCCGTCTTGTATTGTTTCACACTGGAATGGAGGTGGGTAGGGAGCTGGGTAAACTTCAGTACCAACTTTAGCATTGGATTCCTCAATATACACAGGTGAGTGAATGCTGTCATTGTCATCAGTGATAGCCTGAGGAAGTAACTTTTAAGATATAGCACTCATCTAGTAGCTGATGGAAACAGAAGCAGACACCCACAGCTAAACACTGAGCTGAACTGGAATCCAGATGCAAAGAGGGAGGAGTGATAAGAAAATGAGGACAAGACCAGGCTACAGAAACCCACAGAGACAGCTGACCTGAACAAGGGGGAGCTAATGGACCCCCCAGCCTGATAGCTGGGAATCCAGCATTGGACTGACTCAGACCCCCTGAACATGGGTCTCAGTTAGAAGGCCTGGGCAGTCTATGGGACCTCTGACAGTGGAACCAGATGTATCCCTGGTGCATGAAAGGACTTTGGGAGCACATTCCCCATGGTGGGATACTCCCCTAACCTAGAGACAGGAGGGAGGGCCTAGTCCCTACTCCAAATGTTGACGGATTTTGTTGATCCCTGCTGGAAGGCATCACCCTCCCTGTGGAGTTTGGGTGGGTGGGATGGGAGGGTGGTCAGGGGGCATGGGAGGAAGGGAGGAAGGGAGAGAGGGAGGAAGGGAGGGAGAGGGAAACTGGGATCGATATGTAAAATAAGAAAAAAAAAAAGAAATAGCATTGTTGTTTTCATACCACAAAAATGAAAAGTGAGTATTTGAAATGGAAAAAAGAAGGCACTGGATCCCCTGGGTACTGTTCAGAGTAGGCATCAATTATAGCAAGACTGAAAATGAAACACTGGACTGGCTTTGTCAGTACAGCAAAGGAGACTAGATTTCCTCCACTTGCCTCATCTTCATGTACAAACATCCTCAGGTGTGTCAGACAGATAGGAAACCAACTTAATAAATGCACAGTAACCTTTGCTGAGGGATCTCAGCAAAGTGATAAAGGTACAAATAGTGAAATCATTTTATTTGATCTTAATTTTTCAGTGATGGATGCTAGTACTAAAACATGAACTATTTTTTAAATAAATGATTCATGATATATTTAAAGAAAACCAAAGAGCTAAATACTCTAAAATATTTTTTAAGTGTTTTAGGTTTGTTTATTATGTATACAGTATATTGTCTGTATGTGTGCCTGCAGGCCAGAAAAGGGCACCAGATATCATTATGGATGGTTGTGAGCCACCATGTGGTTGTTGGGAATTGAACTGAAGGCCTCTGGAAGAATAGCCAATTCTCTTAACCACTGAGCTATTTCTCCAGCCCTCTAAAATAGTTTTACTACAGCCATATAGTAAATATGTACATACTTAGGAGAACTGAAGACTTCAAACGCCATACATCTCCTTTTGGCCAAGTAGTGAAAGACTTTCCTTTGGTGAGGAGAGAAGATCACAACACCACAGTATCATTTCAGGATTGCCTCACATGTTCAAAGATGTAAGTCAGGGTCAAGGCAACACCTGTTGCAGCATTGTGATAAACTTTGAACTATTGGCACAAGTAGAGACTAGTGAAGTCACCTTCTAGTGCCAGAGAGTTGTACATATATTTGCATAAAGAATGAGGAAAATCCCTGGCACATCAATATCTTTTAATCTGGGCACTGCTACCGTATTCACATATAGCAGTTCAAAAGGCTACTGTCATTATTATCTTCTTTCCAACATATTTAATTACATTATTTATGAACTATTCTTTTCAGCAGCAGCTTATTCAATACATGGGTGAAAAGTATAAACACCATGCCCTCTTAACTGCTCCATCCCCAAATCTTTCTTTCCTTCTCTCTCTCCCTCTTTCTTTTTAAGATTTATTCATTTATTACGTATAATGTTCTGCCTACAGGCCAGAAGAGGGCACCAGATTTCATTAAAGATGGTTGTGAGCCACCATGTGGTTGCTGGTAATTGAACTTAGGACCTCTGGAAGAGCAAGCAGCCTGTGCTCTTAACCGCTGAGCCATCTCTCCAGCCCCTAATCTTTTTCTTAAGACATTCACATATAAAACTAACGGGACACCCAAAAGTAATGAATTGCACATATTGAAAGATCATTTACAAATCGCTGCCTTTGTGACACCTTTTAAAATTAAGTGTGATAAAGGTGACATGTAGAACAGCAGCATGGGTGTGATGGCACAGATCACACTTCCCAAGCTGTCTTGAGAGGCAAAACCCCAAGATAATCATGTGTGATATAATCTGAAACAAGCCTCACAGAGCTCCACTGGCAAACAAAAGATAAACGTTCAAATAAACAATATGCATAAAAAGATGACAAAAGAGAAAATTATGCAGAAGTGAACTGATGAAAGGGAAGCTATGTAAAATAAAATAAACCCACCTGAGGACTAGACAATACAAAAAAGAAATATTTTTGTAACTAAAAAACTGCTCTTAAAACAGTTACATATAATACATCTTTAAACTAAGAGCAAGGGCATTTCAAAATGGAATGACATAAAATATTACCATTTTGAAAAAAATACAGTAAAGTTTCAAAGAATTGACTGACAATTTTTCTTTGGGTTGTTGTTCACACATAATTTCTCTCAGAAGATGCTGCATTGAAAATCCGTTTACTGTGAGTGTTACAGACAAGTTCATAACCAGTGACCCAGTAACTTGTTACCCATACTCACAATCTAGAACCATTTAATCCTCAGAAGCAGCCCTTGCTTCCAAACACATCCTTTGTAAACAGTGAATTGATGCCAAATTTAATTCCATGGTATGTGAAGTAGAACCAGACCTCAGGCCAGAGTGCTCCTTATGTGTGAACCAGTTTCTATCCCCATTAGAAGGTAAGGATGAGGATGCTATCTATGCAGCACACTCTATTGGGAACATTGTTAAAGAACTAACAGAAGGACTCCATGAATACTGGGCAAATCTCAAGAAACTGAACAAGTACAAAAAATGGACCTTTAAAAAAAAAAAAAAGCAGGATCTTTACTCTCATGAGCCTCCCAATGTGTATTTCTACATACTCATGGCCAAGAAGAAAGTGGCATTAACAAAACAAACATGAAGCCCTCAGGTGATTTTAAATGTCCTCTTTGAATCATTACAAAAGACAATCAGTTGTATAGTATGGGAATAACTTCAGTTTAGTTATAGTGAAGCTTGGAAACCAATGTATGTGTTAGGTGATTGTCTCAGCCACAGGACTTAAGTAGAATACCTCGTTGTGCTTACAGAACTTTAAGTGGCATAAATTAGTTGAAAGCAGTAAACTATTGCATTCGTGCTTGATTTCATACTTTCTTCTTTTCTTTAAAAGCATCTATTTACATATAATCAAAACACACTGCAGAAATTGTAAGTCAGAAAAAAAATATCCTGAAAATATTCTTCAGCAGCTATCATTTCTTCAGCTGCCTTTTGAGATAGACTCTTATAAAAAGAATGCTTCTCATAGCTTCTAATATCTGTCTTCTCATCTTCACTGCAGCATTTCACCATGGCTAATATACAAGCCTTGTCAATGGAGTGTTTTATTCCTGGGAAAGCAGCAATTATGTATTGTTGGGGTACACCAAACAACGGCTCAGGAGTCCCTTCAACTTAATGGTCCCTTCATCACTGGAAAAGATTGCTTCCTGTAGAGAAAACAGAAATGAACCATGAGTAACATATCATCTGCTATAAGATGTAAACAGAATATGGACTCCCATTTGGTTTTATTAAAGTTCTATTATTTCAAACATCTTTTTGTGTTTAAAATTTTGAAAAATAACCTTTAGGTATATTAAAGGGAGCTTTTATCTGGATTCTTTGACAGAAAAATATCTTTCCCTACAAGCTTTTTCCTAGAATTTTGAAATTTGTTTTTTCCTTCAACAACTTATGGGGTGAGATACTGACAAAATATTCCACATAGGAATACTGGCCTAGGGTTGGACAACAAAAGCAAAAATAAGGTAGGCTGTCTGATAGAACTCTTGAGGCAAACAGATTCCATCATTTCCAAATATTGGTGTTTCTAATGGGACCAGCTGCTAATCAAGAAGCATGGAAGAATGGTCCCAGTGCCCTTTGAGCACTTGTTTGCTTATATTCTGTTTCTGGAGACAACTATAGAGCTCCTAGTGTAGATCAAGAAGAGAACAAAGTTCCTGTCTTCCAATATGTGACACAGTTTACTGTTTCCACAGGTACCCTTTCTTTAGAAAGGGGAATGTGAAGGTGGCTGTCAATATCTGATTTTTTTTTTGTTCAAAAATCAAGCCATGTTTGTCTATAACTACCCAAAGGCCAAGTTATCTCTTTTATACTAATATTAAAACCAGCACTTTGTATATTCTATTTTTAAGAAGTCAGAAAAGCCTGCATTTCATCAGGTAATAACTTAATTGAAAACTAGGAAATGGAAGGTCAGTTCTCATGATTTATACTCTGGGAAACACTACTGAAATCATCCATGCATGACAGTCCATTTACTCACATGTGAGGGTGCTGTGAAAATTCTATGAATTGTATACAGTTATGCTATTTTCAACTTTGATAGCAAACATTTTTATTCCACTGGGTAAGAAACTTATAAACTGTACTTTAATTCTGAGAAGGATACTTTATTATAAGCTATAAGTCTCTGTCTACTAAGTGAACCAAACATTCATTAATGTAAGTGGTTCTCAACCTTCCTAATGTTTCAACCCTTTAATACAGTTCCTCATGTATGGTGACACCCAACCATAAAATTATTTTCCTTGCTATGTCATAACTGTAATTTTTCTACTGTTATGAGTAGTAATGTAAATGTGGGTACTTTGCTGCAAACTTTGGTGCTTGCCACCTGGACTTGGAGTAAGTGAATGGAGCTCTGATCTACAACAAATACCAACTCAGCGAGCTACAGAATGCACAGGAAAACCACTCAATCTTCCCAGTGTTCCAGGTATCTCAGTAGTGCTTATATAAATAGCACAGGCTGCTTTGTGGGTCAAGGGGAGTAAGTCTATGAGATAAATTTCATATGGCGACTGTCAAAACCACCTAGAAGCCTTGAGGAAATCTGGGTGACTATCCTCTGGGTTTTACTTTAGTTTATCTGTATGCTATCTTGTTACCTCACCATTATTTATACCTTAAGTTTATCTTATGACAATTTATGTTTTAACTCCTCGTTTTAATTGATAATTTTTCTTCCCTTGTGTTTCACTCTCAGAACAAAAATATACAGATTATTGACTACACAGAAGCTGAACAACCTTTCTGTCTTCTTTCCTTTTATACAAAAAAAAACAAGTCAGCCCTAACATATGTACATGTGAGATGGGTCCAGCCCTTTGCTAGGTCCTTCTCTCTCTATACCTACTCTTCTACTACCCTCCTCTATGCCACAATGCTCACATCTACACCATGGTGTACCCTTGCTATCATTCACATATCTCAGATTCAAAGGCAATTTTGTGAAAATACAAATTGATGTATTCTTTTATTGTTATTGCTTGAATACATTCCTTAGGGACTTGTACTAGCGTAATATGTAAATCTTCAGTAAATTATAAGAAAGAACTTAAGTTTGAGCCTTCTGAAATCAAGAAAAATTAATTTACTTTTCCTAATTATTTTATATCATTATGAAGACCACTCAACAACTTGTTCATAAACACAGGTTGGCTGAAGAAGCATCTAAGGGTCTGTCCCATGAGTTTCCACATTCTAATAAGGTGTCTTTAGTTAGTATTTGTCTCAGTGCCATAAAATGCACTTTTAAAAAATTTTCACAGTAACTTGCTCTCAAAGGCAGGATGAAAAAAAAAAGCTGTTGAAATGCTTAAATGCCTTGTTCTAAAAAATACTCTTATAAAGGTGTCTTCTCCTGAAGATTTGTTAGAAACAAATCAGAAAGAGGGAGGTGTACAGCCTGCCGAGGACTGAGAAGTGTATGATTACTTCCTGGACCAGAAAGTGCTTACACTCTGTATTATCATCAGTGGGAAAAACAAAAACAAAAAACAAACAAACAAAAAAAACAACTCAGATATTTTCTTATTAAAGGAGTTCTTACCACGTTCTCAAGACCTCAATGCCTGAGGTGAGGGATCCCCTAGAGTCTTCCTGGAAGTGAGACATCAGAACTTACCGGAAGCTGAGAATGCCCTTGGGGACATCAGAAAAGCAAATCAGGAGTTTGTCCGGATGCATCATTGCCTATGGTTCACAGGCTACTTTCAAAACAGGAATTAACCAGAGTGAAACTGCTGGATGTATCATTCAGCACTTCAGCTTTCTGCCATTTACACTACAGTAAGTCTGCAGGGACAGCGTTAACTTAAAGACCTTTCCAGGTACTCAAATCAACACAAGGAGGGCAACTGGGTGCCTTTCGTACTGTAGGCGCTGTATTCTAACCATGAGCTGTGATTGGCCAGCGCCCAGTTTAGCCAACACAAACACACCCCACCCACCAGCTTCCTGGCACTAACCTGGATCAGGTGTCAGTCAGGCCGGTCCCTGCAACCTCTGGCTGGGGGGTTCTTTGGCCTTCTTGCAGGTGAAAAGCCACTTTATGATACGGGCGTTCCTTTCTACCACAGAGGTTGTGCTAGGCACCTGCTCCATGAGCTCCTCTTCTTGCAACCCGTCCTCACTATGCCTGGAGAAGCTACTATCAGAAGTGGCCATGCTCACGCTACGCACTTTGAGTGTAACACAGTCAGATCCAGCAGAGAAGTTCTCCCTCCCAAGAGCCTCCACCACTTCAGGTTCCAGGCCGCAATAAAGGAAGAAGGTGTCGGACTCAGGCCTGGCTACAGAGTAGCGGGAGCTGAGATCTGACTGAGAGCGCTGCAGTCCTCTGCGATGCGACACCTGTAGCTCTGTACAGGAAGGTGTGCCTGGAACCTTGGAAGCCACCTTCAAAGGCATGTCTGGGGACTCCATGGTCACTACAGGGGCTGGAGGTTGTAACACAGAGGCTGGGCTAGTGGCTGCCGCTTGGTTGAAGCTGGTCCAAGTGGTCTCTGTTTCCTTGGTCTTGTCCTCACCTGACACCCCGGTCGTCTCAGAGGCCACTGGCATTTTGTCCTTGGCAGACCCTTGGAAAAATTTCTTCATCAGCCCCACTCTGGAACAATCTGCTCCTGGCCCTCGGACGAATTCGCATTTTTGTCTGTAGATGACCAACGAATCAGGTCTTAGCGGCTTTCGAGCCAGAGCTCTGCGGGCTACAGGAGCTGGGGCAAGAGAAGAGATTGGGTTGCGGTGTTGCACCCCTGTGGCCTCGGGGCCCCTACACTCTGAAACAGGACTCTGGCTGGATCCCAGCGTGCTACGAACATACTTGGCGCGGTCGGCCGCCAGTCTCTCCACCGCGCTCTTGCTCGCTGGTCGTGCGGTGTGAGTGTCCTCCGCCGCCCTGGGGTCCCGGAGAGGTGGTCGCATTCTGGCAAGTGCGTCCATGGCCGGCAGGGCCCGCATTTTTGCAGGATCCGAACCCACCAAGCTGTTGTCCAGTAGAGACCACTCCTGTTCCGGCGCCAGTCTGTCCGAGTCAGTTCCGAAGTCCGCAAGGGGTGTGGAAACACGCCCCAGGGTCCCTCCGCCCAGATCCGGAGTTGGGGAGAGCCTGAAGAGCCGGGAAAGGTGAATCACTCAGGCGCCAGTTCGCTCCTCCCATGCAGGTCACGGTGCCTCCTCCACCTGGCGTCCCCGCCCCATGGCCGGCTGCAGGGTGTACCCGCCCCCTTACCTTTCTGTTTCCCGGGCCCCATCCGGCTACAATACCCCTAGCCTCCTGTCAGGTGTTCTCTCTCTTCTCTTACCTCCCACCTGCCGTTCCCCCTTCTTTCCTAACTCCAGGAATACCCCACTTCGTTACCTCTAGCCACTCTAGCCACTGTTCCCTTTCTTTGGGAGGGTGAACAGAGAAAGGCTGCTAGGGACCAAGCCTGCTTAGTATCAAGTATCTGAGACTTCCTTCCATCTCCCAAGGTCCTTGAGGTCTTGTTGGGAGTTCTTAATTCCAGAGATTAGAGTGAGGAAAAAGCGCCCCTCCCCGCCCCCGCATACATGAACCATCCATGTCCTGTTATAGCCTTGGCTGTTCTGGGACTTGTACTGTAGATAAGGCTTGTCTCAAACTTAAAAAAAATACATCTGCCCCTGCCTCCCAAGTGCTAGGACTTAAGGTGTACTCCAGCACCCCCTGTCCTTTTAATGTTTAAAGTTTTCTCACCAGGTTTGGAAATTTTCTGTTTTATTTCTATAATTTCTATATTTGAAGGGAATAGAATACGAAAGAAAAAGAAACATTTTCCATGTCAAAATTAGTTCGGGCTGGAAGAAACCAAGAGTCATTTGAGACTTGGCTTAAATCCAAAAGTCATTGGCTGGTACTGCAGTCTCGTTGTTTTTTGAGAAAACCTCTAACACCTGCAAGAATCACTCCTGTTTGTAGTAATCCAGGTGATGAGGAAATTTAGGGTTCACCAGGCATCAAAGATCAAAATAAAAATGCTGAAAGCTTAAGAAAATAGTTTCAAAATTCCATCTTTCAAAAAGTTGGACAGAAGACTAAAAGTATCTGCCAGACAAGTGAAATGTATGCTATCTTCTGTGTGGAGGCCGGTTTCAGGTCTTGCTGAAACTGTCTCAAGTTGCAGTTAAATGTTCTGAACACATAATTGCAGGATTTAGTCCAGCTCTTACTGGAATCTAGTTGAGTGCCCTTGCACACAAGAGCCTTGCTAAAGAACAGCAGAACCATGGCGAGTGTGTTTAGTGAGCTCTAGGGAAGAACCACATGAGGACCCAAGTCAGCTGAAAAATTAGCCGAGTTGGAAGTGAAATACTTTTTTTCTCTTGGTTGAAAATAAGGAAGGGTAGTCAGTAACTTATGGGAGTGGGTAGAGAGAAACAGAAAAAATGTGAGACAGAAGACACAGAGAATGAGTCCTGAGAATGGGTTTGTTTTTTCCAACATTTAGCTTTTACTCTGCCCATCAGGCCAGATAATATACACAACCGAGTCTGTTATCTAAGTTAGAAGAAGCAGCCCTCTCATTCGAGGGGCATGGATCCTTATTGCTGCCTCATAGCAGCAACTATGAAGAACTAAAAGCACACATGCCTTCGATGTGTCTGAATCTGTCCTCACCATCACTAACCACATCTTTTTGGAAAGGTAGCCAACTTCTCCTCTTGGGTCTTTGGTTTTTCAACTGCTAATCCTGTTCTCATAGTTTGCAATGTCCTTTCTGATTCAGAAGGACTGAAAAGTATGACATAGCAGGGAATGGCTTGGTCTGTACTCAGAAGGTACTCTGTGCTTCTGGTTATGTACAGTACAGCTCATTGTGTTCATCTGTTAGTTTTCTCATTAGTAAGATGGCTTATGTAAAAATCTTTGCATTGGGCACAGAGCAAGTTTTCAATCAATGTTAATTGTTACTGTTTTTATAATAGCGGTTATGAATTAGTTAATTATTTTTCTTTCCAATATTGTTACTGAATTCATGTATACACTTAAACATATTCAAAATAGTAACCACCTCTAGCATTGTTTTTAATACATTGTTATTAGACAAAATTAATCATGTTTACTGATAATTTTTTATATCCCAATTTACTAGAAAATTGGAGCTGGAATTATACTGACAGAACTGTCTCAGTAAACTATTGTTTATTGTTCAACTGGGAGATCAACAGTGAACTCATTTCCTTCCTGGTATCCACTTCAAAAGATGTGGTTCAAAGAAAGAATAGATTGATGCTCTCATACCTGCTCTCATGGCTTATCCTAGAGAAGGGTTAAAAACAGTTGTATAGTCACTGTAGACAAACAGCTAGATTGGCCATGCATGCAATTTCAAGAGGCAGGCCAGATAAGGCATGACACATCATTAGTGGAATATTTTGCAACCATTTACAGTTAGCTTTCCCCAGCCCTACATTGGGAAATTCCCATAGTACAAGCAAAAAAAAAATTAAATATCACAGACTTAGAAGCATTTTTCACTATATCTCCTAGCGCTCTCGGGGCACAGCCTATAAGTAATTAGAAATATATATATATATATATATATATATATATATATATATATATATTCTGTTCCTCTAGAGAATCCCGAGTAATACACCATCTTAAAAAATTAAAAATAAGGGATGGAGTGATGGCTCATTGGTTAAGAGTATTGGCTGCTCTTTCATAGGTGCTGAGTTCAATTCCCAGCAACCACATGGTGGCTCACAACCACCTGTAATGAGATCTGGTGCCCTCTTCTGTCATGCAGAGGTACATGAAGACAGAATACTGTGTACTTAATAAATACATAAATCTTTTAAAAAATGTGAAAGAAAAACAAAAATAAAAACGAAACAAGAAACAACCAACAACCAAACAAAAATAGCAGTCAACTGAGAAACTGAATGAACTAGATCTGCATGTGCGGACTTTAATAAATCTGGAAAAACATTACTCACTTAAAAGTTAAATTACAGAATAATATAGGTATTTTGAAGTTTAAATACATTTAAAATAACAGCAATATGTGTAACTGCATATACAAATAGGAGGAGTTGCATAAAACATGACATGATACTGCAGATTAACCATAGATAAGCAATATGGGGAGAAGAATGAGGCAGGAGCTTCAATTTCAGTTGCATTGTTTATTTCCAGGAAAGAAAGTATTAATAAAAGCAGGGAAACAAATCATTTACTAGTCCCCTTTTTCTGTGAAAATGGAAGTTGATTCAGTGCTGCTCTTGCGCAACTCTGAGGCATAAGACAGCATGTTACGTATGAAAAGCAAGTGGGGCAGAGACTGCAGGCAGTGTTTCAGCCTGAGAAGATAGGAGATGGAAGTACCCTGGCACATAATACACGGGATACAAGGGCCGGAAACAGACTCTTAGAGGACCAGGAAGTATGCTACAGAAAGCATAAAATAGAAGCTGTTTAAAAATTAAAAATTAAAGCTTAAAATTAATTGGCTCCATATTAGGAATGTTCTTAAATACTATGATTAGGAATCAGCTTGTAATTTGACAAAAAAGTGAACAACTGAGTGCTCCCCTTTTTCAGATTCTAGAAATATGCTCATCAATTACAGGCATGTCTAATTTCATAAGACAAATACTAATGGCTGTAAAGCCACAGATTATTCCTAACATAGTGAAGAGTAACTGATAGGGGCAACTTCAATGTCCCACTCTCACAGTAGATAGGTTATTCAGACAAAAAAAAAATAAACAGAGAAACAATGGAGGTAAATGATATCACAAATCAAATGGACCTCTACAGAACATTGCACCCAAACACAAGACACACACTCTGTTCTGCAGGCCATGGAACTTTACCTCAACATTATATTTTAGGACACAAAGCAAATCTCAACAAATACAGGAAAACAGAGGTAACATTGATACTCAATTTGACCACAATAAAATAAAGCTAGATGTCAACAGCAATAGAAACAACAGAAAATGCATAAATTCATGGAGAATAACAACTATTGAATGAATGTGGGTCAGATTAATTCCATAAGGAAATGAAAAATTCCAAGAATGTTATATAAATGAAGGCAAAATATATTTTTATAATCTGTGTGATGTAATGAAGGCTGTCCTAAGATAAACATTTATAGCATTAAATGCCTACATTAAAAAAAAACCTAAAGAGATTTCAAAGAAATGAATTAATGATATACTCTAAAGCAGCAGTTCTCAACTTGTGGGTAGCAACCCCTTTTGGGGGTTACATATGGGATATCATGCATATCAGGTATTTATATTATGATTCATAACAGTAGTAAATTTACAGTTATGAAGTAGCAACAAAATAATATTATGGTTGGGGGTCACCATTACCATGAAGAACTGAATTAAAGGGTCATAGCATTAGGAAAGTAGAGAATCACTGACTGAAAGTCTTGGAAAAGTACAAAGAAAACAAACCTAACAACAGTAGATGAGAAGATATAATAAAAATCAGGATAGAAATCAATAAACACACAAAAATAAATGAATTAATGAAATGAGATGGTTCTTTAAATGATAAACAAGATTGACAAGTCCTTAGCCAAATTAACCAAAGGGAGAGAGAAAACCCAAACCAACAGAATTAAAGAAATGGAAGATGTTACTAAAGACACCAACAGAATGCAGAAAATCGTGAGTACATAACTTAAAAACCTATAGTTTACTAAATCATACACTTTAAAGACATGGATGCATTTAAAATGCATATAACACAACAAAGTTAAATCAAGATGAAATAAACATAGCAAGCAATGAAACTGATGAAATAATAAAAAATTTCCAAACTAAAACAACAAAAAAATGGACCAAATGGATTCATTGAAGAATTCTATTAAACCTTTGAAGAAGTAATGCAAACACTATTCAAATTATTTCTTAAAATATAAACAGAAGGTAGGATTTCAAACTCTCTTTAATAAAGCCACTATTACATGGCTATAAAAATTAGACAAATTGTTAAAAAAGAAAATTACATGTAATGAGAGATTAATCTGTACATCATTAATTGCAGACCAATCTCCCAGATGAACATAGATTCAAAAATTCTCAACAAAATACTTGCAAACCCAATTCACTATCACATCAG